CTTTATGATTTACTTTATCCACTTTAATGCCTTTATTTGAATTTTACAGGGATCAACAGACCTTCAAAGATAGCTGAAGACATTATTCGGCCCCACGGCCTCACCACCATAAGCCACACAATTTTATTTTCTCACTTATCTTTATTTTATTTTATTTTATCATATGACTTTATTAATAATTTTACCCTACTATCTTACAAGAACTTACAACAATCAACCATTTAGCCCCGAATACAACCGGAGGCATCACTTCATCACGCCCCGAAGACAATCGGAGGTGTCATTACAACTAGTCCCCGAAAACAATCGGAGGATATTGGGTTTTTTCAACTTAAAATAGGACATGGGTTCGTCCACCCTAAATTAGGACATATTGGGTTAGTCCACCCTAAAATAGGATACGAGTTCGTCCACCCTAAAATAGGACACAAGTCCATCCACCCTAAAATAGGATACATGGATTCGTCCACCCTAAAATAAGACAAGACGGGTTCATCCACCCTAAAATAGGATATACACACATCGAGTTCATCCACCCAAAAATAGGATACATACACATATTAAACTCATACTTTATGATGTCATTAACGACTTTACCTTTTTTACCGACATCACTTATCATTCAAGTCCCCGAAGACAACCGGTGGCCTTATTTATCATTCAAGGACATTATTACATCATCTAACGGCTACACTTTTACTTTACTCTCTAATTTACCTATTACTTTAATCTACTTTACCGTAAATTTTACAGACATCATTTATCATTAAGACCCCAAAGACAACCGGTGGTCTCATTTATCATTCAAGTCCCCGAAGATAACCAGTGACCTCATTTATCATTCAAGTCTCCGAAGACAACCGGAGACATTATCTACATTATTTGCATAAGCCAAACAACTATATTCTTACTTTATTCACTACTTTACCATTTACTTTAATCTAATTTACCTACTTTAACGACTTCACCTTAAACTTTACAGACATTATTTATCATCAAGTCTCTGAAAACAACCAGAGACGTCATTGGTCAATATGTCTCCGAGGACAATTGGAGACACCAATTGGTCATGCGACCCTATCATCATAAGCCAGACGGCTCCAACTCTCAATATCAAGTCTCCGTAGACAATCTGAGACATATTTATTCATCAAGTCTCTAAAGACAACTAGATCCAACATTGGCCACATGCCTTTGTCATCATTCTCACACATATATATTGCAATTTTATTTATTTATACATTCTTATACTTTAGTTACTGTATCTGACTTTAATGAAAATTTTAGCATGAGTTTCAGGAAAAACAGTCTAAAGCAACTAAACACGCATCACAACGTAGAACTTTCTCTTAGCAGTGAATTGGGGCAAATTTTCTGAAGAGGGATATCAAACTCACTAGCAAAGGTGAAGGATCTACTCTCAAACTCATTTCTGCCTACATCCCACGAATACGTGATATGTAGGTTATCCAAACTTTCCTTTCATTTCCACTGAAAAACCTCAACTGAGTTAACTCATATCATGACCCCTCGAGGCTAAAGATATTTTAGTGTCACTCTTCTCAACTCTTCCCCTACCTATATTTGTTGGTCGAGACAAAATTGGCTTCTAAGTCAACTTCTTTTCCCGTAAACTCTTTCATCGTCTCTGGTCAAAGAGGGGCAAGCTGTTGACACCAAATTTTGTCCCTCCTTTCTTCTAATTTATTTCGTTGAGCTTCTAAATTACTAATAAGTCGAATACTTTATAATTCACTATTATTTTCCAATTATCACTATTGCTATCGTAATTACCTATTACTTTAAATTTTATTATCATCTTTCTATTATCATTTTTACTATTTTAAAGTATATTCTTACTATCAACATTTATTATTAACACTTTATTGTCGTCTTTTTAAAAATAGATTGTCCCTCCTCTGTAAAATTTGAATTTCATAAACAAAAGCTTTACCTTACCATTCTTTTCCTATAAATACTACCTCATCTTCAACAAAGGAGAAGCTTTTCTTACTCATAAGAACATCATACATGGTCGAAGTTATTCATAACGTTTAGCTATCACCATCCTGGCCAAAACTCTTGTATTGTCTGTTTGCTTTTATCAAACTCATTAGGTTCGAGGGGTGAATCTGGTCATAACGAGAGAGTAGATTCTACGCCGACGTCCTAGTTCACTACACTACAAAAGCTAAAATCTGATTCTTCTATTCAGTTAAGCATTTGCGGACGTGTTAGGAAAAAACATGAGTTATGCATTTATTTGTCCGTAGTTATATTACAGTTGCTATTACATAATAATCTCTCTTTAGTTGTGAAAAATCTGATTTCAATCATATAAATGGAGTTGTCATGTACAACTATATGTTCTGCTAATTTTTTTTAAAATAAAATAAAAGGAACACTAGAAATATGACAATACAATAAGGACAACGGGGAAGTCTCTGGTTCAAGTCCAGGATGGCCCAGCTGCGCCATTCCATTCCCATAAGAATGAATACTATGATTCGCGTATTCCCACAATTTAAGTAGATGCGAGATATAGAAATTCTCTTTTCGCCTCTGCTCGTGCACTCGTTAAAGTCATGGCCGCCTTGCGCAGCTTTAGAAAGGAGAGAATGACTTGTTCTCTATTGATTCAAACACTGTACCTATGGGATAGGCTTGTCTACCAAGAATCGATACATCGAGAAGGTTAGCTGCGATTGCTTGAAAAAAATCAGTTGAATACTAATTTTGTGTGATAAATTGACTACTTTGATTTGGATTTAGATATGCTAGTATGTAGAGAAACTGTACTTACGCTCAACTAGGGATCTAGAACTATGATTTGATATAATAATCGTGAAAGGATAATCTTACCCACTCTCTGTTATATTAATCTCTAGTTTGTCATGTAACATGTTCCCAGTTATGATTAATATAACTTCCGACTAACTATTCTCTTTTTATATATAGTATAAAGAATCAAATTTCCTCATCTAACTCTTTTCTCATGTTTATTTGGCATGAAAATCGGAGCAGACGAGTCTCCTTTTGAGACTCAACGACACCGCTACAACATGGAGCTTGCATATCCCTCACATGGAATTGATCATATATATTTCTTTGACACTACACCTATTCTCTTTTCCTATTCCCTATTTCTAGATACGTGTCCGGATAAAACGAGACATTATAGTTAATTAGTTGTCTAGCGCATTACTTACCGTTATGCTTACTTATTTGTTTGGTTTGCTGTTATGTTACAAGAATTTGCACAAAACTGCTTGAATGACTTGGTAATTTATCTCTAGTTAGTATCTTATTCATGTTTATAACCCCTTTTTACTCCTAGATTTAATGACCGTATTTGGATAATTTGGCAAGTTCTTTGATTTGTGATAAAAATCAGCTAACCTTTATTTTATTTAATGTATTAAATCAGAATTTTTTTGGGATTGATTTGCAATACTATTTTTCTTTACAAAAACGTTCTTTTTTCTCTTTTAGTAAAGCCTTTTGGAGGCTCTATTTACTTTTCTTTTAAATATAAATAACTAGACTATCTTGGACCCCAAAAACTACCTTTTTGAGTCTTACATATTTCATTAATATCGTACACCACTTTTAAAATCAAGTTATTAGTCTCAAAGCTTTTTCAATCTCAATCCGTCTAAATGGAGTTTTGGATTTGTGATTTTAAGTCAAAAATGATTTTATTTTGATCACTTTTATTTAAAAGTTTCTTGGTAGTAACTTTGTTTCCATGGATTTGACAAAACAAGGAATAATTTATTTAAACTTAAATTTGTCCGTATAAGCTATTTTTAGACATAAAGTTTGTACTTTTATATTTTATCCAAACACTCTTTTATATGCTAATATTTCATTTTGACACTTAGCCTAATTAATTAATCAAGTTCGATTGGTTAACCATTTTTAATGGATTTTAAAGGATGTCTAACACATTCCCTTTAAATTAGTTGACCCTTACCTAGAATCTTATGTTTAGTAGACCTTAAATGGAGTTAACTTTAGACAAAAACTTTAATCATTTTAGGTGTCCTAATTCACTGTAAATAATTAGGTGGCGGCTTCTTAAGTTAGTTATTAATTTGGAAATCACCAAAATGTTGTACACTATTTTGACCCGATTAAAATGGGATATAACAGATGGAAGTTTGAATGTCATGAATATATTGACCATGAGTTTTTTCTTAAAAAAAAAGTAATTGATCAAGTGTTTTGACTTTTGAGTATATGTGAATTGTGTAAATATTATTGAGTTGGGAATTGATGAAGTGATTTTGAAGTTAGAGAATATGAACTTGAATTACAACTTAATTAGAACTTATAATTAATCATAACTTGAAATTATTCTAACTTGAACTTAATTAGGAATATGAACTTGAAATATTGCTAACCTTAATTAATTAGAACTTACTTTTGAACTTTATTAGAACCTAAATTTAATTTGAACTTAATTAGAACTTTGAAGTACTTGAAATCTATTGACCTTAATTAAAACTTTATTGAACTTAATTAATTAATAATAACTTGAAAAGTTAATTAGGAATATAAACTTAATTTTGAACTTAATTAGAACTTGAACTTAATTTGAATTTAATTAGTGTTTATGAATTAATTAAGCTTCAACTTTGTAGATCTTGAAATGTAGTATTTATGAGCTAATTAATAATTAGGTATATAAATTAGCTAAATATATAAGTAATAATAAATATAATTATTAAGTAATTATAAATATATATTAACAATATAATTTAGTTTAATGTAGTTAAATTATTATTAAATTTAATTTATAATTGAATATCTATATTTTTGTAGATGGATCATCGTTTGTGGAGGTATAATATGCATTATGAAACTGGTGATGGTTTGAAACCTGAGTTTATTGTTAGTGTTAGATGTTTTATTGAACGTACAATGACACTTGATATTTACAAGAATGGAAAGAAAAAGATGAAAGGCGATTTGACTATACAATTGCATTTGCAGGGGCATTTGGGTAATCTTCGAAGAACAATGACATGTGTGAATGCGGTGGACGTGACAGCTAGTACTTACCTCTATAAATAGACAGCGAAAAACCTTATGACTCACTTTTCTTTTTCCTCACTGAAATAGTTAAAAGAAACTTAGATACTACCACAGATATGAAGAAAGTAAATGTCAAACATGAAAAGTTGAATGAATATATCGAATCTTCTACGGCTCCAAAGAAAGAAGAGAATGTTTTGTCTGCCGGCTATGGAAACTCTTCAGGTATAGAATTTTTCTCCAAAAGATTTGATTTAGAATTTTGGCTCTATCCATATATTTTAATTTATCTTGAGAAGAAGACTCATATTCAGTCAAGCCTCGAACTGTTAATTGCGCTTTGAGAAAATGGTGACTTCCAAAGCATGTAACAACTTTCAAGTCACAATACAAGGCGCCCTGTTTAATGTGAAGTTGTATCTGCTTCCATTATCGTCAAATTGTGAAATGGTAGTAGGAAACCAATGGACACTTCAATTTGACGACAATGGAAGCAGATACAACTTCTCATTAAACAGGGCACACTGTGACTTGAAAGTTGTTACATGCTTTGGAAGTCACCATTTTCCCAAAGCCCAGTTAACAGTTCGAGGCTTGATTGGATATGAGTCATACCCTAGCTTATCTGCTAAAGATTCATCAATAAAATTTTGAGTAGTCTCAGTCCCTCCTACAAAGATTAGGATATTCAAGGGTTGCTTCTCATGGTATCTGGTCAGGCAGCGAGAATCTTTGAATGACTCAAAAAATTCTAATACAGCGATCCTTGAGATCCACATGTCCATTTCTTCTTCTTCTTCTTCCTTTATAGTCACGGGATAACTTTCTCATCTTCCACCTTAGGGAAATCAAGCATCATTATCATTAGTTACTATGTTTGAGTATCTGTAGAAGACTCCTATTGTTTAGGAGTAGAGGTAGCAGTTAGTTTCCTTTAAGTTTAGCCGTAGGTTGTTATTAGCAGTTGTATTTAAAGCTTGACTACTGAATTAATAAAATCATCTTTCGACTACTTTTTCTATCTGATTTTATAAGAACATACAAAATATGAAGTGGTTTATCATGTCTTGATGCATGAAGTTCTTACAAGAATCTTGTTGCATACTCTGCACCTTTGACTAAGCACCTGAATTTTGTTCAATTTGTTGTATGCAGCTTTAGCTTCTTGTAGTAGATCATTGAACTGATAGATGTATGCCCCTTTAAGCTCCAGTTAGCCATTGCATCCACTATTTAATTTCCTTTTCTACAGCAATATATAATACCATTGGTTTGATAAAGAGTCTTCCTTGCTTTAAGCCTTTAACCACAATACTATCAAGGAATACCCTTTCCCTGCATAATATCAGCAATCATGTTACTATATTGAAGTGTTATCCACCTTAATTAGAAGCTCCAAATCTAGTGGCTCTCAACACCTTAAATATTCCCACATATACTTGTATATATGTCTAAATTTTCGCAACTCCCAACATATGATGGAAAGCATAATTTTGATAATCTCCTAGTGTAATAGTTGAGTATTTTGATACTCTGACACTTCAAAACATTCTCATTTTTGAGTAATATCTTTCAAGATTACACCCATAGGGCCTGCAAATGATCTCATTAAAATAAAACATAATCTGAACTCATGTATGTTGAACTAACTATATATCCTCACTAAAATTTCCATTAAAAGATGTTATTGAAGAAAACAACAATATAATAAACCAAACCACTTACAACTACTGAAATTAACTACTGGGACTTGGACATGGAGGAATTGGAATATCAATAATTCCCTGCAACATGTGTAATACTTTTTTCATGGAAGGACGAAGAGCTGGTTCGTCCTGAATGCACCAAATCGCCACAGAGATCATTCCTTCCAAGGTTTTCTTGTCTACTTCTTCACTTCCAACAAGCTTGTCTACTTCACCTTCAACAAGGCAACTATATGCCCATATAGAAAGCTGGATTTCTTCTATTTTAGTCACACAGACTTCAATGTTTCTTCTGCAGCAAATGATTTCTAGCAATACAATACCATAGCTGAAGACATCAACCTTGACAGAGATGGGGGCATTTGTTTGCCACTCTGGTGCTAAATACCCTCTAGTCCCTCTTACACCAGTGAATGTTCTTGTTTGATCAGGCATTAGCAGCTTGGCCAGACCAAAATCTGAGATTTTAGCTGTCAACAACTCGTCGAGTAAGATGTTTTGTGGCTTTATATCACAGTGGATAATTGGAGCTTCACATTCTTCATGGAGGTAGAGGATTCCCCTGGCCACATCTAGTGCAATATTTACTCTTAGATTCCAATCCGGCCGAGTAGCTCCTCGGAACAACAGATTTGCTAGGCAACCATTGCTCATATATTCATAAACAAGAGCTCTTTTTGATCCTTCAGCACAATATCCTAGCAAACGAATCAAGTTTCTGTGTCGAGTTCTACCAATGACCTTCATTTCTGCTCTGAACTCCCTTTCACCTTCTTCCACTACCTTCTCTAGCCTCTTCACTGCCACAAGGTTTTTACCTTTGTCAAAGCTCCCTTTATAAACTGCTCCAAAAGCACCCTTTCCTAATTCCTCTTTGAAACCATCCGTTGCCTGTTTTAGCTCCTTGTAAGAGCAAGTTTTGAGTATGAAATCTTTTGTTAAGCCTGTGGTTCCTGTCTGAAGTAGCTTCCTGTACTTTATTATCCGGAATTTGAAGACATAAAAGCCTGAAAATGCAAGAGCAGTACCTGAATACATAACGAAACTTATCGATAAAACCAAGATCACCACCCATGGTGGCTTCACTGAATCCGTTGTTGGATTTTGCACTGCTAGATTGCTGACTTTGAAGTAAGCAGTGCGAGATCCTTCAGGAGCACCTTTAACATACCTCAGAGGAAGCTTGTGTTTCATACACTGGCCAGTTTCATCGAAAAGAGCAGCATCACAATCACAGTCCTCCAAACAAGATTTACCACAATCTTCTTTTCCTAGAAGTGATGTAACAAAGTAAGGAGGATCCTCCCAGGTCAAATTGGTTGTGGTAGTAATCTTGTAGACACTTACATCTTCTTTCCCATTAATGCACTTTCCTCTGGTGAAGTTCCTTTGACAATCACCAAAGCTTGGATCATTCTCTCTCAAGTATGACCCTGGTAGACACATACAAGATGATGCATTGTGATTACTTCCAACACAATAGCCATTAAGGCCACAGAAACCCTTCACAAGACAAATATCATCAATTGCCTCCCACTCCATTACCATTTTAGAATTCCCATTGGAGTTGAATTCGTGAGAATAGAGTCGAAAATTCCCATCATAATCTAGAGTGGCCCGATAAATAGCTCTGTTATTCTGTACAAGTGGAGTGTATAATTGTCGAAGTACTGAAGAATCAGTGTCATTGATCAGAAATAAGATGCCAGTGCTGTTAAGAAGCAGGAGATTTCTGCAACCATCACAGTACATTTGTGAAGACCAATAGGCATCTACTGGCCGAAACAAGTTTCTGGGGTATGCAACAAGGTTCCCATCATCCTGCATCCAGAGGCGAAATCTCCCTGAGGAGTGATTTGTGGAGGAGAAACTAGAAACCAATTTACCCCCACTTGTTAATTTCTGGCCACCTAAAATTGTATCAGTAGGAAAACTGAAGCTCTCATAGATAGTTTCATGATCTTGATTGTAAAGAACAAAGTTACCGTTATCAAGCAAGTTGGCATAAGAAGCAGATTCTGACGAACTAGCAACAGTCTTATCCTCACTGTTATTTGTTTTCAGAACTACAATTCCATCAATGAAAGCTAAGGTAGAATCAGCAGATATTTCTGGATCATCACGAGACACGGTCCACACAATAGTGTTATTGGAGCCTCCCACTAACCAAATTCCCACCTTGTAACCACTTCCTTGTGGATAAAAGCCGAAGGCGAAATGGCCTGAAGCTGAGTACCATGCTACAGATTGTCCAGTGGGATGAAGAGAAGATCCTAATCTTATTGTACTAGGTGGATTTGATTGAGCTCTAGCGGATCCAAAGATAAACAACACAAGTAAGAAATAGAGAGCCATGATATCAATGGGGGAGAAATTAAAGAAGGACAAGTTCTAACTGTTAACATGGTTGAAGAAGATTAAAAAAAAAAAACTAAAGAAGCAGTTAAGTCAAACAGAACATTTTTTTCAAGAAATATCCATGAAGAAGCTGGGAACATTACCTGGTCAAGTCGTCTATTAAAGTCTTCTTAATAGAAAATAATAAAGAAGAGTTTAAATGCTTTGATGTGATCCACAAGCCAATTCACTAAGTCATCCTGAGAAAAGTCTATCAAAGATAGGAGAGATGAACAATTAATTCTACTTTTAAACTAATATTTTGTGCAAGAATTCAAAACTTGAAAACAAGGGCTGAAAAGGACCACAAAGAAAAAAATTCCAATTACTCCTTTTCGTCCATATAATTAGTAGAAAATTATTGTCTCTAGTTCTTCATTTTCATATATTCTTTTTTCTTTCTTTTTTTTGGTCCATATTAGTACAAAAGTAGTTTTTTCTAATTTTATGTAAAGATCGATTTTGGTGTAATTGTGTCCTTATGTTAATTTTATCTAATAATCTTATTTTATATAAAGACTCTACCCCATACCATACTTTATCTTATAGGCTTATACTTCAAACTGTTGCATTATCTAACGATGAGAAACAATACAATCTACCAAATGTTGTATTCATAAAAAGAAAACAGTACAATACAATGCAAGTACACAACACAATACAATATAATATGATACATTTTGAATGAGATGTAGCAACCAGCCAAACGAAGTGTAAAAGACTTAATACCATGCCAAAAATGGTATATCCATAGTACCTTCTAACATGAGAACTACATTCCTCATAGAAGGGCGCAGATCAGGATTATCGTGAATGCATAACAATCCAACCTTCACCATCCTCTCCAAGGACTTCGCATGATCTACTTCCTTATCTCCCACTAGCTTTCTGATATCATTCTCGACAAAGCATTTGTGTACCCAATTAGGAAGAAAGATTTCATCCTCGGTTGAGACGTTGACATCCATATTACTTCTACAGCATATGATCTCCAAGAGCATTACTCCGTAGCTATAAACATCTACCTTATCGGAGATCAATGCACTATTCTGCAACTCTGGTGCTGAATATCCTCTTGTTCCTTTAAGCTGAAGTTGGTTTCCTACTTGATCAGGCACCAGAAACTTTGCAAGCCCAAATTCAGAGATTTTAGCCGTCCACGAATCATCTACTAGGATATTGTGTGGCTTTATGTTGCAGTGAATTATGCAAGTCTCACACTTTTCATGCAGATAAAGTATTCCCCTTGATATGTCCAGTGCAAGTCTCATCCTTTGCTCCCAAGAAGGTCTTGTTTCTGAATTGAATATGATATCTGCGAGTGACCCGTTGCTCATGTACTCATACACAAGAATTTTTTCTGATCCCTCCAAGCAAAAACCAAGCAAATGAACCAAGTTTTTGTGACGAGCTTGCCCAATCGCAGTCATTTCTGCTTTAAATTCCCTTTCTCCTTCATCCCCGATTTTCTCCAGTCGTTTTACAGAAACTGTTCTGTTACCTTCTGATAGAATTCCTTTATAGACGTTCCCGAATGAACCATGTCTTATCTCTTCCTTGAAATGTTCAGTGGCTTTCTCAAGCTCACTGTAAGAAAATGATCGAAGAGTGAACTCCTCATTTGGCCCCAAATATGGATTTTCCAATAGCTTTTGGTATTCGTCCGCTCTGCTTCTGTAGAAAATATAACTGAAAATTGCAAAAACAGTGAACAGAAATGCTACAGAACCAAGAACCAGGGATAGAATCAATATTATCTCTTTCCGACTTTCATTTCTATTCCCTGTTTTTCCAGGATAGGGAGTAGAGTGACCTGCCATTTGGGAGATGTTATAGCTCTGCTTGACGAAGCTCTTGATGGACTCATCATTTTGTTCAATTGTCGAATCAATTAATGGAAGCTTAAATTTGCTGCAAACTCCATTCATGTATAGAGCAGCCCAACAAGTACAATCATCCAAGCAAGAATTTCTACAGTCCTGCTCAACCATTGAAACCTGAGAAAATGGATATCCTCCAACTTTCAAGTGTTGAATCGCCGTGACATTGTAGGCCAATGTTGAGTCTCTGCTGCTTCCACAAAACTCTTCATAAACGAATCCCCGATAGCAGCCTTGGAATTTCATTGCACGGTTGACATATGAAAATCCAGGAAAACAAGAACAATCGCCTATGCTGCTGCCATTTTTTGCAGTACAATAACTGTTTAAACCACAGAATCCCCTGGCTTTGCATTGGTTTTCCAGCGCTGACCAATTGATTTCCAAGCTTGAGTTGTCAAAGTTATGTGTATAAAGCCTAAAAATCCCATCAGGATCAAGAGTTGCGCGATAAATTGCTGCTGCTTTGTTGGTTGATGATTGATTAGAGGTATTCCCTATGGTATTGACTTGGAAACGAAAACCATTAGAAGCATTCCGAAAGAGTTGGCCTGTTGGAGTAAGACCTATGAAAACTGAGCTAACCTCACCAAATTCACCTCTGCTTTGTAGCATAAAACCCCAATAGGAAGCCTCAGGTCCATTAAGATAATTGGTTGGGTAGGCAACAAGGTTCCCATCAGCCTGCATACTAAGATAAAATCTTCCACTTGAATGATCAACTTCAGTAACACTAGAGACAAGGCTCTGGCCCAATGTTAGACGCTGACCGGCCAGGATGGTGTCTGTTGGATAATCAAAACTTTCCCAAACAACAATTGTTTTGTTATAGATAACAAAGTTACCAGAATCAAGCATGGATGCTGAAGTTACTGGCTGTGGAGATTCTGCAATGATTTTTTTGTTCTGTTTTGTCCATAGTATAAGTTTGCCTCCCTTTGTGAACTCGATATATGCATCCAAATGAAGTGGAGGATCATCTCTATTTGCAGTCCAAACAACAGTTTTATCAGGTAGCCATATGCCAACTTGAAATCCATCCCCTTTTTGGTAGAAACCAAATGAGAAAAGGCCTGAAGAAGATGGCCAATAACTTGGATTTCGGTTCGGATAAAGAAAAGAACCTAAGGTTATGTTGGAGGGCTGTTGCTGAGCTCCAACTTGAATAGCTGCAAACACAAATGGAAGCATCAACAACATGAAAGTAAATGTTAAGTTAGCCATGACACAAGGATGAGAATATAGATATACTCTTTGCTAAGTATTCTTTTGTATACTAACTTGGACATTTCCAATTTTAAATGGCAGTAGTATTCCCTTCGTCCATTTTTAATTGTTTATATTTTTGTTTTTAGAGTCAAATGATAAGAATTTTGACTTACATTTTACGATGTATTTTTCCATCATATTGAAATGCAAAAAATTACAATTAGAGTAGTATTTTTCATATAGTTTTTGAATATCTAAATTTTTTGTTTAAAATATAGAATTAGTGTAATCTAATTTAACTTTGAAAACATGACAATTAAAAGTGATCGGAGGGAGTAATAATTAACACGTTGACACTTGACACGAATTAGGTAACAGCTGAGTCAACTTCATGTTAATATTTTCCAAAACTCTAACAATTGAAAAGTTAGTAATGTTTTGAGAAATGACTGATGCAATGCAAACAAAGTCTTAACTAGGAAGTTTCTTAGGGAGGCGTTATGCATTTCCTTAGTCAACTCTTGTATGATTTTTCTATCTTCACTTGTCTTTTGCGCGTTGGATGGTTTAAGTTTGTCTTTTGCGCGTTGGATAGTTATATTTGTTTGATTTCTTTAAAAGCAAATTTCTCTCTTTGCCGGTCCTTCCAATTAGGGATGACAATGAGGCGGGGCGGATGCGGGGCGAGTTTAAGATTGTGCGGGGCGGGTTGAAGTGGGTTTTTTTAAAATTAATGTGGGGCGGGGCAGGTTGTGGGTATATGTGATTTTATGTGGGTATAAATTTAATTTTAAGTCTTTACATGTTATAAGAGTGATAGAGCATTATTTATTAAGATAATTTCTATAAATCTACTAAAATATTCAAAATAGTAAATGAAAATGGTTCAATAAAAAATAATACAATTTCTTATAAGTTTTCCAATTGACCTCTGAAAAATAAAATTTTAAGTCACCATCCTATTAAATTAATATAACTTAATGAAAAAAAGAATTTATTTTTATGAATTTTATTTTTAGTATCAAACTTAACTAGAAAAAGAAAATATTAAAAAAGTATTGCAAGGCGAGTTTATACGGGGCGGGCCGAGTTGAAAATGAAAAAAATTATTATGCGGGGCAGGGCGAATTAAAAATTTTACGGTTTAAGCTCAACCCGCCCCCATCCCCACCCCGCCTCGCCACATTGTCATCCCTACTTCCAATCTTCTTTCTTTCCTCGCAAAAACAAAAAGATTAACATAAAAACAAACAAACAAACTAGAATTACGTTTGGAATTGCATATTAAGTGCCTGTTTGGTATTGCTTGTTAAAATTGCTTATTTTTTAAAAATTAATTTTTTGGAGTGTTTTTTTTAAAAATAATTTTTCAGTGTTTTTATTAAAAATAATAATTTGTATTTGATTAATTCATTTTGAAAAGTGCTTTTTTATAAACAAATTGTGTTTGACTAATCTTTTTTTAAAAATATTTTTGAGAGTCAAATTACGAACAAAGGCAATATCAATGTACTTTTACTATTAAAGTTATTCTATAGAGATAAACTATTTTAAATATTTATTATAAAAAATTTAATTACATTTTTATTTTTATTAAATTAAAATCTACATATTTACATTTTTAATCAATATTATACCTTTTTGGAGGGCTAACATCTTTAATCAATATTATTTTCCTTTTTTCTAATCTTGCAAAATTAATATTGTTACCTTTTTTTTTTCTAATTCTGAAAATAATACGTAAAATAATATATAGAATATAATATAATAATATAGAAACGTAAAATTAAAAAAAAAACATTTTATAAAAATATAATTCTTACATGAAACTCAACAAAACTTATGACACATGTTAATTAATTAATAAGAAATATATTGATAAATATGTATATATGGAAGGAATATTTTAATATTGAAAAAAATACTAAATTTCTGCTTTCATTTAAAAACAAATATACTAATTTGTCAAACGCATAATTTCTTTTAAATTTTTTTGCAAATAAGTGTTTCTAAGTCGTGGATTAGATGGGGCACGTTTCGAGAACATCGTAAAAATTCACTTCCAATTTTTATTTTATTTTCACAAAGTTTCCAATTAACTTGATCCCTCGTATCTATTTAACCTAAATCCTCATGAGACTTACGACCATTTGCTACACTGCAAAATGAACTAATTATGATAAATTCTTATCCAGTTAAAGTAAGAAAACTGATTGAAGGTTCTTAATACAAATAACAGATCATGTTTTGACCGTAAATGTTGTTACACATCTAAATTATATAATACTAATGAATATTATAACTTCATGCAAATTCTTTAGTGACACTAAACTAAAAAGGGAAAAAGGACCAAAGAATACTATCTAAGATCAAACAACAGTAGTAGGTTAGAAGCTACACTAAATTTTTTATTTTTTACATGTCTTCAGCACTTAATTCATCGTCATTCTTTTCCTACTCTTAGTCCCATCAAAGACATGTTTTCCTTAGATACCTCTTTGTTTTGTAAGTTAATTTATCAACATGTTCATTTTAAGACTCCAACAACATAACTTGTTTTTTACGGACTACACCAAATTGCCCTGACATAACAAAACAACATGTGATTTGGAAATAAAGATTGCCAAAAGAATGGGTATCAAAAGAGTACTAATTATGTAATGTGGCATCTTTTCGTCGGCAAAAATCATATCCAAACTGATCAATTCGTCATTTTTCTTCGAATAAATAGCATCCCACATTCTAGTTAAATCCTAATCCTTATCATCAAATCATCTCTATCATAACCAATCTTGGAAGAAAATAAAAATCTAATTAAAAGCAAGACAAATTAAGCAAGGTACAACATGAAAACGATTCACTCTTATCAATATACAACACAAAAAATAGAGTATGAAAAAGATCAAGAATTAATTAAATGCAATTATTCAGAGATATATGCACATTAAAATTCATTGTAATTACTAATGCTGAAGATAAAGAAACGGTTCATTGGAAAACATAGTAAAAGAATAGTGATAGAGATATATTGAGAATGCACCTGCAGAGGAGAAGAAGGAATGCTTAAAACGCTTAATTGGAGTTTAAGGTAGACATTTGTTATAAGTTATTTGGGATTTTATTGGTTTGTTTAACTCTTAAAGATCTGATTGATTACTCATACGTTAGAGTAGATTTATTTTGTGAGCCTTTTTTAAGTCATTTAATTAATAGATAATTTTTTTATATAAAGAAAAAAGACTCAAAAAAGGAGAAAAAAGATAAATGTGGTGGCTTTAGAGACATGCCACATCACCTCTCCTACATCTAGCTTTATTATATATATAGATATAGATATATTAGCTAAATGCTTAATTTTTCAATAAAAATGGTTTTTTCTCAAAATAAGTGTTTCGATCTCTCAACATCATTGTCAAACAAACTCTTAATCATGAAGCTTAACTCTCCTTTCTATATAGGAGATAATATAATATAAATAAATATAATCATATATATATATATAAATATATATATATTTATATAAAAGAGAACCCTAGGTCCGTCGTGGCGCCACCACAAACCAGAATTCCCTTTTAATTTATTTATTTCCAAATCTAGTCTTCCCTTTTCATGAAAAGTTGTGACTTTTATAAGAAGTTGTAACTTTTATATCAAAAGTTGTAACTTTTATGAAAAGTTGTGACTTTTATGAAGAGTTGCGACTTTTATGAAAAATTGTGACTTTTATGAAAGGTTGTGACCTTTTCGAAGGGTTGTGACTTTTCCAAAGAGTTGTGACATTTCCGATAAGGCACAATAAACATTTATTCACACTACCCTTTGTTATCTATAAATAGAGGGATTTCCTATCACTATTATTTGTAGGTTTTTTTCCGTTGTAAGGTAGTAGAATTTAATACATTAATTAAGCTTCTTATGAAGTTTGTTTCATTCCTCAAATTTTCATCCTCCTATTTCATGAAGCTTAATCTTTACTATAAGTCATAGTGATTCATGTAATTATGACAATTCTTTTTCCTATTTTGGTGAGTTTTTTTTTTTAACTCTGTTAAAAGTTTCAGTAAAGATGATTGAAAATTGATTTTCTCTTTTGTCCCTTTGTACATATTTTTTCGTATAAACAAAGAAAATTGATATTTTGATTGCAATGCGACATTACTACTCTTGCACCTCTCATTCCACGGCTCATAACGGAGTCAATTCCCTAAATGGTCACCCAAGTTTAGGTAATTGCCTTGAAATATCATTTATGTTTCATTTAGGACCAAAATATCACTTAACTATCATTATTTTCTTCCAAATATACTCAACACTTCAAAAGTTTCACCCTCTCTAGTTGGCATGCCATGTCATTGAAGCCTTTTTTTAAGAATAGACTTATTTAATTCATCAAACTCATTTAACTAAAATAATGATTTTATTATTTTCTAAAAAGTATATATTAGTTTATTAAGAAGAAATTTTCATGCTTAATCTTTTGTCATAATTATTTTATTTTTTATGCTATGAAGAATAGTATTTTAAAACTTACTATAAAATATACTTAACACTTCAAAAGTTTCACTCTCTCCTAGTTGGCATGTGATGTCATTGAAGTCTTTTTTTTAAGAATAGACTTATTTAATTCATCAAACTCATTTAACTAAAATAATGATCTTATTATTTTCTAAAAAGTATATATTATTTTATTAAGAAGAAATTTTCATGCTTAAGAATCTTTTGTCATAATTTTTTTTTTAATGCTATGACGAATTGTTTTTTAATACTTACTATAATATCATCAATTTTGAATACTTATAAACACATATATTCAAAAAATATTGATATATAAATCACTCATGAATATCAACCTACGTCAATTAATCATATATTATATAATGGATCAATAATATTAAATGTCAATTAACTATTAAAAATAATTAATTGGGTACTTTGAAATCCATACTTACAATATCTTTTTTTGACAAGAAAATAGAAAGTGAATCATATTTATATTAGAAAATAAAATTTTGATCTTTATCTGTCAGTATATTAATCTCATATAATATGTATATTATTGATCTTGTATTTCATGAATTTGGGATGAGATAAGAATATATATTGGTGTTTAATTGCATGATAAGTTAAAATATAATATAATATAGCAATAAAAGAATAAAAATAAAAATAATTTTTTTTAAAAAAGTTAAATAATAATTTTCTATTTCTTACCAATTCTTTTGTCAACCTTAAAAATTTATTTGAATACTTTTATGAAAAAATTGCTTAAAATTTTAAATAATTTACTTAAGAATTTTAAAAATTACCAAGTAATAATTGCACACAAAGTTTTTTCACTGAATTTTGTTTGGTAAAAAAAATAAAGGAATTAGTTTTTATTTTATTTTATAATCTTCATAAATTCTCATGTAATTTATATATTTGTTTTGTGGAGACATAAGTTTGATTAATTAAATAGGTCTATTACTTTTTAAAATGATGATTTAATAACATGAGATATCAACTAGAATAGAAGGAGGTTTTTGAGATATTTAGTATTTATTTATTTTTGGATTTAAAATAGTAATAATATTATTCGCTTTCTATTTTTTTTCAAGAAAAAAATATTGTAAGCATGAATTTCAAAATACACAATTAATTTTATTGTAATAGTTAATTGACATTTAATATTATTGATTATTATAAAATTTATGATTAATTGATGTAAGTTAGCATTCATGAGTGGTCTGTATATCAATATTTTTTTTGAATGTATATGCTTATAAGTATTCAAAAATGATTATATATATATTGTAGTACATTTTAAAAACCTATTCTTCATAACATAAAAAATAAAAAAAATTATTATAATAAAAGATTCTTAAGTATGAAGATTTATTCTTTTTTATTTTTTTTATTTTATTTTTTAAAAATAAAAAATAAATATGATCATTATTTTAGTTAAATGGATTTAATGAATAAAATTAGTCTATTATTAAAAAAAGACTTTAATGACATGTCATGCCAACTAGGAGATAGTGAGGTTTTTGAAGTGTCAAGTAAATTTGGAGGAAAATAGTGATAGTTGAGTGATATTTTGGTCCTAAATAAAACATAAATGATATTTCAAGACAATTCTCTAAACTTGGGTGATCATTTAGGGAAATGACTCCTCATAACGCTGTTGAAATGGTTGAATTCATTACATTTGGTTCTTTAGTAAACAAAACTTTTATTTCTGCCACTATTATTTGTAGGTTTTTTTTTGCTATAGGGGAGTTGAATTTCAAATACATTAATTAAACTTCTTATGAAGTGTGTTTCATTCCTCATATTTCATGAAGCTTAATTTTTTACTGTAAGTCATAGTGATTCATGTATCAATTGCAATTTCTATTTGCTATTTTGGTGACTTTTTTTTAACTCTATTAAAAATTCGAGTGAGGATGATTGAAAATTTATCTACTCTTTTGTTCCTTTCTACAGGTTTTTTCATATAATTTTTAGGAAAATTTCTTGTGGGTTGTGCTATATTTGATAGCACACAACAACAAATATGTGATAACTAATACGGAACCAATGATGAAGTTTGTTAAACGAACCAAACAAATTGTTCTCTTGCTTGCCACAGTTAGTATATTGTTTTGATTGTTTTTTCTTAGGTACAAACAATTCGTATGTCATTGCACTCTTCCTAGAATATTAGTATAAACACAATTAGTCCACTTCTTTTGTTGCAAGTTAAGTAATTTGTCATATTTCTTCGTCTCTTCTTTTTGGGCATAATAAGAGATCAAGTTTTCTTGAAACTAACAAATGTCCAAAATACACTATAACAAAATTAAATTTTGTATCGATAATAAATATGCACAATAACGAAGAGTGCTAGAGCATTTACCGACATTAATTAATTGTCATTAGATTCAATGTTGCTATAAACTCTAGGGACATTTATAGAGAGTACTAATTGTCTCTGAAAATTCATATTTAGCGCTATTAATTGTCGTTAAAGATTATTTTTACTGTAGTAATAACTCTTTATTTTGATAAAGTTTTTTGTTTTTTTTATAAAGAAGTAACAACTCTTTCTTTTGGATTATTTCAAAATTTGTGAACTGTAAACTTGAATACAACCCAATAGACTATCTTTTTGAAAAATATGTTAAGCAACATGTCTTTTTCTTCTTGATTGCTAGGAAAGTAAGGTTGTCTTTATTATTATTTGTGAATTCAAGTGCTCACAAAATTATGTTGTGAGATTTTAATATGTTGTGTCAAAATTTTGGTTTAGAATATCCATCTGTGAACAGTTTCATTCAAATGTCACCTACTGCTTGGTTGATAATTGCATTAATTCTTTGAAACTGCATACTATAACCATAATAATAACTATGGTTCAATTCCAAATAAGTTGGGGTCGGTGATATGAAACCTAAGCAATAGTAATGACTATTCAAATACAATGAGGAAAAACATTTATGATACTAACAATTTTAGGGTCATTTTAAAAATATACATGATACGTCATACTACAATAAAAACAGATTGATGGAGGTTCATAAGAAAGAAGCTGAAGGTCTTCCATTTGAGTTTAGTTAAATATGTTCTTGTATGGACGTGATGCTCCACTTTACTTGGGAGTGTTGTTGTTCGAGGCTTTTTGGTCTCTTCTTTAACGTCTGTTGCTGTTCTTTATAACTTTTTGGAATTTAGCAAATTTCATTACTTCTGACCAACTATTTCTATGGAGATTTTCTTAGACTTCTCTCTTATACTTAAAATCTCTCTATGACAAATAATTTTTGTATAACAAAAATAAAAAAATAAAAAATATAGCACTTTAAGATTTCGGAGGAACGTTTTGCCTTAAGATAAAATGTTCTTGACAATGTAGTGTATGTATCGAAAATATGAATATTACCGAAAGTTCATATGTAAGCTTAATAATATGGTTCAATCCCGTGCGAAGCATGGGTAATTTACCTAGGAGTACTATTTTTAAATATTATATTTAAAAAGTTGACAAATGGTTTTAGTAAAAGTCTGTTTGGATTGATTTAAAAAAATAGTTTTAAAATCAAAAATAAAAAGTCAAATTAAAATGACTTTTAAATCAAAAAATAAAAAACAAAGAGAGACATACTTTTAATTTTTAACTTATTTTATCATTTTTTATCTTGCTAAACACTTTTTAACTTATTTTAAATTATTTTTTTATATTTGTCAAACCAATCAAAACAGCATCTAAGAATCGGAAGTAAAGTAATGAGAGTTGGGATGGAAAAGGTGTTTTTGTTGCCTTGTTGGTAACCCTCTTTGCCTTGGATCGCCCATCCTGGGAAAGCAGATGCCTCCCTCCAAGAAAAGCAAAGCTAAAAAAAACTCAACCGAGTTAACTCAGTCACCGGCGCCGGCAGTTTCAACTCCCAAATTTCCAGCATGTATTCGCGCCGTTCCTCCGTCCTCCGTCGCCATCACCATCCATGCCAAGCCAGGCTCCAAACAAGCCACCGTAACTGACTTGAATGACGATGCAGTTGGGGTTCAAATTGACGCACCTGCTAAAGATGGTGAAGCTAATGCTGCACTTATCGATTATATAAGCTCCGTAAGTCCATCTTTTCGTTCAGTATTCATCTAGGGTAGTATGTGCTTCTACAATATCATCAATTAAGCCTGCACTTTCATTCAATTAGTTCAGCAGTCTTTCCCCATAAATTTCTCCCCGTTTAACCTAAAATTCTCTTTTCGTGATTAATTGCATTGATGTTTCATGTTTTTTTCCGGAATTGTATTTGGGGATCATGTATGGAGATAGAATTATTACTATATGAATTTCGTAACATTCCGGAATTTAAAAAAACTACAAATACCTGTTTTCACATTTTCCATTCTAGATCATTCATAATAATTCAATATTTTTGTTGAAATACAACCCCAATTTCCAAATACCATGTTTCACCTATTTTCTTTCTTTCTAATTTCACATTTTTTTATGTCCAAACGCCCTAGATTTTGTAACGAAAGAGTACCTCACTTATCCTTTATAGCTTAGACAATCAAAACCATAAAAAAATTACTAACCCTGCATCTGAATCTCTGTATCAGTTTACACATAAGCTAAAATTGCCAAATAAGTGCTACTACATCAGAGCACATTGTGGCTGATGAAGTTCCAGTGTTATCAGAGGCGATAGGTGAAAACAAGAGCTAAAGTATCTGTATATCAGAGCTTTAAGCTCAAAGAGCAAACGAAACTCAGAATTTAAAGAGAAAGGCCACATTGAAGGAAAAGATAAAAAATATGTATATGAAATATATATATGTAGTTCAAGAATAATAGCAATAATTTAAACAAGCATTCTATAGGCCAAGGAAATGAAAATTATTAATTAGGTGAATTGTATTGTGTTTTGTATCACTCTCTTTAGGTTGGAATCCACGGGCGATGAGGTGCATGTTTTAGCTACTTGGTGCCTGCACTGAAGTTCTGCGTAAGTAAGACATCCTATTTTGCATCTATGTTTAGGGCTTAAGCGCATCTCAAGCAAGCCTTTGACAACCCTATGAATAACCAAGCAACGTCTTTGAACCAGAG